CGAATAACTTTTCGTAAAAAAATAAGTTTCGAAACAATAATAATAATAATAAATATAATAATAATAATAATAACTTTTTATTATCCGTACCAATAAAATGGAAATTGTAATCAAATCGTTTTCGAAATTCAAAACGATGACGGGGGGCAAAGGGGGGGAAAGTTCGTTAAAAAAAAAAAAAAAAAAAAAAGATCTCAGACTACTGGCGACAGGTATTATTAATCTTTTTTTTCTGGGCAACCGTCTATATCGTTTTTCCAATTTCGTAAAACGATATCGTCAAGGTAAATAAATAAATAAATTAATAATAATAATAATGGTAATGGTGATGATAATGATAATGATAAAAAAAAATGGAACCGAATGATTTTACCGTTATTGTGTCCGTCGTGTGGTGCAATTTGCAAAAAACAAAAACGTAATCGTTCGAAAACCGTGACGTCATCGATTTGGCTTTCTTTATCGATTTTTTTTTTATGTATATATGGAAATGAAAATTTTCGATTTGGCATTTAGCCTTACCGAGATTTTCTAAATTCTCACAGTGATAATAATAATAGTAATGATAATAATAATTGGCGAACGGTTTGGATTTGACGTTAACGTTTTCTTGTTCGTATCGCCATTTTTTTTTTTTTTTGTTTAGTCATCGACGTTTCCGGAGATTTGGAGCCGAATTTTCAAACGGTTACTATAATTAATCGAATGGCGACGACGACGACGTACGTTACGAAAGCAGCAATAATAATAATGATGATGATAATAATAATGACGGTAGTAGCGGTTGTGGTGAAAAATGGTTAAGTCGATATAACTGATTGGAGGGCGGAAAATTTTTTTTCAGGTTCGTTTTTTTCGATTTTCAACAAAATTTTTTTTAAAAATTTATTTAAAGAATTCGATTGTTGTTTGTTTGTTTGTTGAGAGGGAAGAGAGATAGTAGTGGTAGTTGTTGTTTGTAGACGAATCCGGTGGTGGATCGAAACATTTTATTTATTTTTTTTGTTGTTGTTCTTGCGGAGACTCGAATTTTTTCAGGTTTATTTTCTAATTTGACGAAATGTGGTTTTCTAACGTCGATGAAAACGTAATAATAATAATGATGATGATGATGATGAAAACGTTTCCGCCGCGGAATCCGAAAAACGATTCGATAAAGGAAATGATAAACAGGATGTAACAAAAATTAAATAAAATATAATGAATTACGAAAATTTTTACTCGAATCAAATCAAATCGAGAGAGACAGACAGACAGAGAGAGAGAGAGAAATAAGAAACATTTGTACCTGAAATTTTTTTTTTTTTAAATGTCAGAAACGCATAAAAGCCGATTTTTAAAGGCCATTCGAGAATCGACGACGGACGTGCGTTGTCGTTTTGGTATTTTTGTAAAATTTTTAACGGATAATTGAAGTTTTCGGTAAATAAAAATTGGGGGCGTTCGTACGTTCGATTATTATTATTATTATTATTATTATTATTATTATTATTATTATTATTTTTAAATTTACAATTAATTGGATTTAGACAAAAAAAGGAAAATTTCTTTTTTACGTGCTCGCCTCGCGACATTTTTTAATTTTTTACCATTTGTTGCGTAATTAACCGGTAATCATTAAAATAATAATAATAATAATGATTATAACGAGGCCCCAAAGGGGGGCAAGATAATAATTTAATATCATATGGGGGTCCGTTACAAATCCATTAATTTTTACTTTTTTTTTTGTAATATATATTACGCTTTCAAATGGATAAAATAAAATAAAAATTAATGAATGAATAAAAATACCACACGTTTCGTTACGATCGATCCATCGATCTATCGATCGTAAGATCGATCAATCGAAACGTGGAAATAGAAAATAATAATAATAAAAAAAAAATGAAAATGATTCGTGTTTTGCAAATTTGTTTCGAAAGTTTTTTTTTTCTTTTTCATTTTCTTTTGCCACGCGTGAAATGAAAAGTAAAAAAAAAAAAAGGCAAAATTTCCACGTCATTGAAATCGAATTAATAAAAAAAAAAATTTTTTTGAAAAGTTTTTTTTTCTACAGAAAAGTCGGGATTTTTTTCCAGGGAAATTTTTCGGGAAGAAAATCCGTACGAGAGAATGATGATGATGATTTTTTGCGTGATTTTTATTATTTTATTATTATCATCATTATTTTTTAACCTTTATCCCCCTTACTCGAAGGTCGAAGGGGAGGTGGTGGTGGGGGGCGGAGGAGGGATACACTAAAAAAAAAAGAAAGTGAATTTACGCGACGGGGAAGGGAGGAAAGGGCAAAAGGGGGAGAAAAAAACTTTGACGGTGAAAATTCATTCGTTAAATCGCTCGGGGGGGGGGGGACCCGACGTCGTCGATGGGAATTTAATTTTTTTTTTTGAAGTTTTTTTTTTTGGGGGGGGGGGTGAGGGAAAGATTGAATTTTGGAGGAAAATTTAAAATTTTAAACGCGATAAATTTTTTATTTTATTTTTTTTTTTACGAAAGGGAGAAGAGAGTGAGAGGGGGGGGCAAGAGTCGTGGGGAGAGAAAGAGGGGGGAAGAGTCGAGGGGAGAGAGAGTGAAAATAAAATTTTGTGTTTCTATTAGGTTTTTCCCGGTTTTTTTTTTTTTTTCTTTTCCTCGCTTCAAATCAAATCAAACCTTTTTTTTCTCTCTCTCTCTTTCTCGTTTCTTCTACTTGTTAATCTTTTCAAAATAAACCTTTCCTGAAAGTTTAACAACCCATAATTTAACATAATGCAAACACTCTCTCTCTCTCTCACTCTCTCTCGTTCGTCGTTTGTTCGTCGACCTTTTTATAATTTTTTTTTTTTACTTTCTTTACTTTTTCTTTTTTATTTTTTTTGTATAAAAAAAAAAACTAAGGGCGTACGAACGAAGGGATGAAATGCGGCGGCGGTGGCGGCGATGGCGGTGCTTTTTATATTTTCTATTTGACGGCACGGTTAGCAAACCTCCATCTTTTTTTTTTTTACGATCGAAAAAATAAATAAATAAATAATTATTTATTTATTTATTTATTAAATGCTATTTGGAACGCAGGCAGAGTCGAGGAAGAATCGAAGAATATAAAATCGTTTCGAGCGAGTTCGAGAATATCGATTTTAAAAAATAATAATAATTATTATTATTATTAATATTTTATTACGCCACGTGGGTTTGCATAATTATCCATTGCATAAGTTTTCAATCTGATGAGTTTTTTTTGCGATTTAACGAAAATAACAAAAGCAACAAAAAAATTGGTCGGATGATGATTACGACGAATTGAAAGGAATTGGATTGAAATTATTTAAAAACAAAAAAAAATGGCGGGAATTTCAAAAAAAAATGATATAAGAAGAACGTCGATGGAAAAAAGGAAACAAAAAAAAATTTAAACGGTGCGGAAAAGTTTTTTGTTTTCATTTTTCTTTCTTAGAAATTTATCATTACGTAAACGAAACGAGAAAAAAAAATGGCGAAAAATTATAATTCATTCGAAACAATAATAATGATGATGATGATGATAATGATGATGATGATGATGATGATGATGATGATGATGATGGTGATGACGAGGACGACAATATGTTCGCTGTCATGTAACCGTTATTAAATATAATTTCAAAAAATAAAAACGGAAATGGTAATTACGATAAATAAAAGCGAAATTGGTGATGATGATGATGATGGCGGAGGAGGAGGAGGTGGTGGTGACTGTGATGGTGGTACAAAGAATATTTACAAGAGCCGAAATTAAAAAGCGCGTAACCACGAGTTTATTATTTATTATACTCGTTATAATTTGTGACGTAAGTTCGTTTTTTATTATCGAATGTTCTGGAGAAAAAAAAATAAGGAAAAGTTTTTGTGTTGCTGGAGAACGTGAAAAATCTCATGTTTCGCATGTTATTATTATTATTATTAACGTCATAAATATAATTTGACTGCGTTGGTAAATCATTTATAATGAATGTGCGTGTGCGAGTGTGCGTGGTCACAAGAGAGAGAGAGAGAGAGAGAGAAATTTGTTATTCCCACGTTTTTGTTACCAAAAAATGAAGCTAAAAACGGTCAAAATGATTTGATGATGATGATTCAATTATTTATTGTTATTAATTTATTATTTTTGTCATTGTCGTCGTCGTCGTTGTCGTTTGTGTCGTTGTTGTTGTTGTCTTTGTTGTTTGTGTTATATTCGAGGCTGAGAATTTAAAAGATTAAGGCCAAGGTTTTATTTAAAAAAAAAAAATTAGAAAGAAGAAGAAGTTAATGTTAAAGCTTAAGAACGGGTAACATTTTTAAAAATCCGGTTTTTTTTACTTCATTTAATTGTTTTCAATGGATGGACGATGGGATGCGATGCGATGCGTGTTTGTTTGTTTGTTTGTTTGTTTGCATTTTACAGTTGGATTCTTTGAATTGAACATGAAACAAACGGGTTATAATAAAGTGTAATAATGTGCGCGACGGTATAGTTAGTTTACCGAGTTTTTTTTTTTTTTTTGTCTTCTGCTCGTTTTTTTCTTTCTTTCTTTCCTCGTTTACGTAATTGTTGTTTTATAATTTTTTTCCGTTCCGCTCTTCCTCCTCCTCCTCCTCCTTCTCATCCTCTTTGCATTCTCCCACACGAAAATAAAATTAAATTAAATTTAAAAAAATTTTTTTATTTATTATTTTTTATTTAATTTTATTTTTTTAAATTATGAAAGTTTCTATGTGAATTTCGCGCGGTTGTTGTTTTGTTTGTTTGTTTTGTTTTTATTTTCTTCGTTGTTTGTTTATCCCGAACGCAAAAAAAAAAAAATTATGAGAATGAAAATGCATAACGTAAGTAAGACGAATTTTTAATTTTAATTTTTTTTTAAAGATTGCGACAGGATAGTTGGTTTAAACCTTTTTTTGTTGCCCCCTCCCCTCCTCTTACTCTTTCCTTTTTTTTTTTTTGTATTTCCTTGAGTTAATGAGACGAGAAAGAAATAATAATAATAATTATCTCGTCGATGACTTCCGGTGGAGTTAATTTTTTGATTTCGTTTTCACTTCATCGCTTTGTTCGATTGTCGAAATTGTTCAAATTGAAACCGAAAAACAATCGACAACTCATTAGCGTACCGATAATGAACGCTGTAAAAAGTGATGATGATGATAATAATAATAATAATAATAATAATAATAATAATAATATTAGTCTTTAACGATAACCGAAGCGGTTGCGAGTAATTTAAAAATCAAGTGGGTTTCCATTATTTGTTGAGGTGGCGGCGGTAAGAGAAAAATCTTTCTAGAATTTTCTGTGTTCAGACAGACGTTTAAAGAGCGTTTATAGTTTTTTTTTTTCTTGCAAAGAAAGGTCAAAAGGTTATTACGAAAGCAATGTCACGACATTCACGAATTTTTCATTTTGGATTTTTTTGTTTTCGTTTTTACGTCATCACTGCAATTAAGGTTGTTGTAACCTTTTAAAACGAGAGTAAAATGTTTGTTTGTATTTAACGGACGCAAAAAAAAAAAAGTCGGAATGTTTGTTTTGACGTTCGTTCGCGTAAAAAAACAAAAAAAAAAAAAAAAACTCGAGTTGTCGTTTTTTTTCAGGTAGCTGAAAGTCTTCGTCCGTTGGAAAATTTTTTTGATTTAAAAAATTATGTTTCAGGTCTTTACAAGGGATCGACGAGTCAGCTCATGGACTCGAGTCATCGAGTGACGCCAGCCGAAAGACCGAAAACATTGAGAAAATTAAAAAACGTTTACGAAAACGTAACCAAAGAAGGGAACGGCGGGTGTGCGACGGGAAACGACGAGGGAACCCGTTGTTCGTTGGTTTCGAGCACAACAGATAAAAGTCTTTCAATATTGAGCCCCTTCGACGAACAGGAAGAATGGGCAAAAATATCAGAGATAATGGCGAGTTTCAGTTCGGGTTTGGTACGCGATAGCATATTCGTCGCAGAAATGGAAAAAGAAATACAATCGAGATTAGGTACATTATTGTTTTTTTATCTCTCTCTCTCACTCCCCCACCTCTCTCACTCTCTTTCTCTCTCTCTAATTCTCCAGGAGTTTTAATGAATTATAATTTTTTTCAGAAGTAAAAATTACACATTTTGTAATCAAACTGGTTGTAACGCGTGAAAATCCAGTTTTTTTTTTTAAAAGAAAAAATAAAAGAGAGAAAGAGAGAGAGAGAGATAGTGAGAGAGAAAACAACTTTTTTTTTTTTTTTTTGTTCCCGAAGGAGAAAATGTTAATTTATTATTTCACAAGAGAATTTTCACGTGTTGTTTCAGGGCTTAGCAGTCAAAAGAAATCAGAGGACGTGTCCAAGGTCTTGACAAAAGTTGGGCAATGGTTATCGACTATGAATTTGGAACGATACGAAAAAAATTTTTTGGATCATGGCTACGACGACGTAGACTTTCTAAACGGTTTACTAGACAAAGAAGAATTGAAAAACATCGGTTTAACCGAAGAAGAAGAAGTAGCGATTGTGTTAAAAGAGTTAAATAATTTAAATTGTAAAATAAAAGATATTAAAAAACAATTTTCCGTAAATAATTTCGGTAATAATTTGTACAACAATAACAACAACAACAACAACAACTTTAACAACAACAATAATAACAATAACAATAACAATGTTAAAATTAAAAAAATGTTTAATAAAGATGACGGCGGTGGTAAAGAAAGTGAAGAAAGTGAAAACAACGAAGAAGGAGAGGAAGAAGAAGGAAAAAGAGGAGAAGAAGAAGAAAATGGTGAAAAAAAATTTGAAATGATAAGTAATTGGTTGGATTCGATAAATTTGGGGATATATAAGGAAACGTTTAAAAGGCACTCGTACCTGGATATGGAAAGAATAAGAAAAATATGGGAAATGGAACTCACGTCGGTATTGGAAATAACAAAAAGAGGTCACAGGAAAAGGATTTTGGCTTCCGTGGGTGGGGGTTCGCCGTATAAAACGGATGTTTTGTTTTCTTCATCCCGGACTTCCGGTCCGAACCTCGACGAACTTTCCGCGGATCTCAGTCAGTTGGTAAGTTTTTTTTTTTTTTTTTTTTTTTTAAATCGATCGAAATTTTATCGATTCTTTCCTCCCTATCCCTCTCACTCTTCTTCCCTCCCTTCCTCCCCCCTGATAAAAAAAAAAAACCGCCAAACGTGGGATTATAAACCGTGAGAAATATTTCACGCGTTTACGTCACCCGTCAACGCTTTTGTTACTTCCGATTGACCGCCGCCGACACCGCCACCACCGCCTGCTTTCTTTTCTTTTCTTTTTTTTCATTGTTAAATTTTCACTTCCGCCCATTTTACAAGAAGAATAAAAATAAAAAAAAAATTTAACGCGAAAAGAAAAGATTTTGGAAAGGGAAACGACATATCGAACTCGCGCGCACCCCCTCCCCCTCCCCCTTCAAAAAATAAAAGGAAAGTTCTAGAAAGTTTATTTCGTATGTCGCACATATAGATAAACCTGGAATATTATAGAAAAGGGATTTTAAGAAGGGATTTTATCAGAATTTTTTTTTTTTAAAAAAACAAGTAAATAAATTATTGATTTCTTTATATTCGGGATGGGTGGGATGTGGGAGGTAGGGAAGGGAAAGGGAAAGGGGGAAAGGAAAAGAAAGGGGAGAAAAAAAAAGGTGAAAGAAAAGGACGGAGAATTTTTATTTTTATTTTGTACATAAGAGGATACTATACTATACTCTTGACTTGATTAAATAAGCAAATATTGATATTAGGAACAACAACTGGTTTATGAAAATAAATAAATACGTTTTTTCTTTCTTTCTTTTCTTTTATTCTGTTTTTTTTCTGTTTTTCTTTTTTTTTTTTTTTTTTTTGCATTTTTCTAATTAGATTTTTTATTTAAATAAGTTTTGAAATGAAAAAAAGAAAAAAAAAGGGAAAAAAAACAGAAAAAAAGGGAAAATTCCTTTTATTTTTATTTTTTTCATTTAAAAAAATGAAAAATAAAAAAAAAAAAAATGCAAAGCAGCTTTACTTTAAGGGAATTTTTCTCTTTTTTTCCCTTTTTTTTTCATTATTATTATTAAATTTTAAAAATTGAACGAAAGGATTCGCGCGTGGCGTGAGGGGAAGTAAGGGTGAAGAAAGAGAAAAAAAAGAAAAGAAAAAGGAAAAAATAAAATAATATAAAAAATATATATTAATGATGGCGGAAAAGGAAGAAGGGAAGGAAAAGGGAAAGGGAAAGGGAAAAAAAGGAAAATGTGAAATGTGAAAAGGTGTACGAGAGAATATGCGGAAAACGATGTAAATAATAATAATAATGTTTTGGTTTAAAACCGGAAGAGGAAACGTGTAAAATTTTTTTTAATCGCGAGTCATATATAAAATATTTCAAGACAAAAGAAAAACGCGAACACATTTTAACACGAAGAAAGAAAGAAAGAAAGAAAGAATGAGTAAGAAGAAGAAGAAGAAGAAGAATGTAAACGAAATCGTCGGTGTGATATGTTATTCGTACCAACATGACAGAGAAAAAAAAAAAAAAAGAAAAGAAAAGAAAGAAAATCGGCGGATCATTTTATTTTCTCGACTACGAACGTATGGCGGTATAAACGCATTATTATTAAACAATGGGTATAAAACCTTGTTGCCACTTTTCCTCTCTCTCTCTCTCTCTTTTTTCCCGCCCTTTCTCTCCCTCCCCCCTTCCAAAAGCGAAGAGTGAGAGTGAATTGTTAGACTTTGTCCAAAAGGGCGTCGTTTTTGATCAAATAAATATTTTATTAATTTTACTTTTATTTTATTTTCATTGTTGTTGTTGTTGTTTTAAATGATGATTCGGATAAATGGGTAGGAAATTTTACGTTTGACCTTTGACCTATTTTTTTTTTTTTATATCGAGCCTAAATCACAAACGTATGCCTAATTTTGTAATAAAAAAAAAGTTTTCTTTTGTTTCGTTACATTGCAGTCATTGTTTCAGTCATTGTTTCAAAATTTTTTTTTTTTCCGAATGAGTACTCAAAAATTTTTTCCATGAGGTATCGGCGGAATGGGTAGCAGGTTTTCGGTAACTTTTTAAATGGTAGATAACGTTTAGATAAATTCGGGTTGTCCTTGAAAAAAAAAAAACAAGAAAATCGAAAAGAAAACCTTGAAATGAATATTTGAAGGTGGTATACCAACCGACCGACCGACGTTTAAAACGGTGAACCCGGTGTTTGAACGAAGAAATCTATCGTCAGATTAATCGCCTTGAAATGATAAGTGGGAGTAGGAGGAGGAGGAGTGCGTGTTTTTATTATCATTATTATTATTATATGTCACGCACTCACTCACGTACGCACAAGCGAGTTTTTATCTAAATTCCGACGCACTACCACTCCCACCGAAATCGAACGTGTTAATTTTTTTTTTTTTTTTTTGCGTTCATTTCGACGTAAAAGAGAGAGAGAGAGAGAGAGAGAGAAAACGTCTTAGGTACGTGATTCCATGCGAATTAATCTAAACAAGGAGGGGAAGGAGGAGGAAACATTTTATAAAGAAAACATTGGGAGAAAATGATTTTTGAGAAAATTTAAAATTAATGTTAATATATATAAATGAAATGATGAGTTGGGGCAAAGGGAAGGGAATGAAAGATGATGATGAAGATGAAGTAGAAGAAGAAGAAGAAGAAGAAGAGCAGCAGCAGGAGTAGCATGTCATCGTGATTGAATTAAATATGACACGCGAATGAATCTGTTTACACACGTCTTTAGCATATCAAAGTTTTTCAAAATGTCGGTTCAATGACTTACCACACATAAGTTTCATTTACCCGTTTAAATTTTTTTTTTTTTTATTACTCTATGATTTTTAACTAAACGTTTTTTTTACCTTTTCTCCGCCATTTTTATTTATTTATTTATTACTTTTTATTATTATACATTTTATTTTGATTTTTTTTTTGAATTTTCAGAAATCAAACATTCAACAATTGAAAGAAGAAATACGGGAAAAGTTACCGGGAGGAAATGCTTGTACAAACGTGACCGCGACTCAAAATTCTCTTCCCTTGTTAACCGTGCCAAATTCTGGCGGTACTTTGAGGCACAGTCACAAAAAGAATAAGCCCGCACCGCCGCCTCCGACGGCGATCGGAGATGGCGGAACCACGCCCGCGAAATCCAACGTGACTCCGAATTTGCCCATAAGAAACCCGTCGGAATTGCTCGTGGGAGTTCCGTCAACCTTAACGACTCAGTGGAGGCACCGACCCGAAGAATTAGTTACCGGAAATATAACTTACGTCGCGAATGTGAGTATTGTTCTTCGATTCCGCATCGTCTGTCGGCCGAAACTGAAAATTATGTTCTCTTTGTTGTTTTTGTTTTAGTATTTGGGTTCGACCGTGGTGAAAGAACTCAAAGGAACTGAATCAACGAAAAAATCAATTCAAAAATTGAAAAAGACGAGTAAGGAATTGACGGCGACGCCGGATATCATGTTGGCAATATCATATCGAGGCGTTAAATTTCTCAATACTGGAACTCAAGAATTGGTTTGCGAGCATGAAATCAGAAACATTCATTGCGCCTGTCAGGACGCGGACGATCTCACACATTTTGCATACATAACAAAAGATCACATAAGCAGAAGTCACTATTGTCACGTTTTCTGCGTCGAAACCATGGTAAGCATGAATGAGCATGAATTTTTACACGACGTTAATTAATGAATCGCGCGACGGACTCGCATCGTCACGCTCATTGATTAACGCAAGACATATGTCATATAGAAATTGACGTACCGCCTACTTATCACCCGCCAAAATTACCACCACCACCGTCTAAAAGAAAGAAACTATGACCCAATAACCCTTTTTTTTCTTTCTTTCTTTCGTTTCTCTTCGCAGGATCAAGCCACCGAAGTGATATTAACTCTGGGTCAAGCTTTCGAAGTAGCTTATCAGATAACTCTGAGAGAACAAATAAGTGGAAATAGACGCGGAAACGGTCACACTCGATCGCAATCCGCGAATCAAATCGTCGGAAGCGGCGTCGTCACTTCGAACAACACCGTCGGTAGCGGCGGCGGCACCATCACCACCACCACCACCACCACCGGAAATAATCATTCTCAACTTCCTAATCATTCGAGATCGTTGTCGGTCAACGAAATGAAAATGCCAGGGGATTGTTTGAAATCGAAAGTCGAAGAAAAGAAAATCGAAGAGCGAGACGGAGTCGTAGCCGTCGACGATTTATAAAAACTCGTCGCGATTCGAGATATCGAAAAAAGAGAGAGAAAAAGGAAAAAGAAGGTAGAAGAAGAATTGCGGATAAGAAGGTATAAAAACATGTCTTGTTCTTGTCTTCTTCTTTCCTATGGATACCACCACCATTCTTTTTTTTTTTTTTTTTTATTTCTTTTTTCGATCTCTATTTTCTCTATTTAGCTCGAAATTTATATATAAACACATTGTTAGTTAGAGAGAGAGAGAGAGAGAGAGACCCTTATTACTACTCCGGAGCAGCTCTTTAGGAAATAGGGTGATTTAATGAGTAATTTTTTCAACCCCCCCTTGGTAGTACAAATATATATATATAAAAATAACCTGGGGTGATGAAACGACGTTTCGAGTAACGACGTCGTATGTCCTTAAAGAGAGAGGAAGAGAGAGATAGAGATAGACATACACGTAAGATTAAAAAATTTTTCTTTGTTTAGTACGAGAAAAAATAAAAAATAAAATAATAGTAATAAAAACTAGTTAAATTTCGTCAAAGGTAGCTAAAATAGAAAAAGTTGTTGTTTGAAGTGGGGGGCGGGGCGAGGGGCGGGGGTCATGGGGTCGGAGGAGATTAGAAACCGGAGTAAACAAAAAAGGATCTCCTCTCGAGTATTGTAATACTTTTCAAATATGAGAAAAATATGATTTTTTTTTTTTTAGCTGGGGGGGGAACGGATAGGGATAGGGGGATTCGAAAGTCTCCCCATTTTATTGTAAAAATTTTCTTTTTGAAAACTTTATATATATATATACAAATGCATATACTTGTACATTTTTTTTTTTTATTAATTTTTTAAATGTTGCTAGTCCTGAACGTAAGTTAGAAAGTTTTTTTTTTTTTTTTTTTTCGCATTTTTATCGTGATTTTACATTAATAATATCATTATTATCATTATTATTATTATTAAAATTATGATCATCATGTACCATTATTATACTATTATTCAGTATTGTTGTTGTTTGTTGTTGTTTGTTTGTTTGTTAAGAACGGCCGCTCATGTATTTTTCAAAACGATACACAAAAAAAAAGGGGTAAAAGGAAGGTAGAAGGGAGGGGATGAAGGGGGAAAGCGGTGGGGGGGAATGGGGGGGGGAGAAATTCATACATAAGCTCACTATTTATTTATTAACATACATATATAATCCCGCATAAGTAAAAAATAAATAAATAAATAATTTTTTTTTATATTTATTATTATTATTATTACCGTTTTGAATCGGCCGAATTATTAGTAATAAATACATAAATAAATAAATAAATAATTAATAATTAATTATTAAAATTAGTAGTGACATACATACACATACACATACACGCAGCATTATTAATGATAATTAATAAATAAATAATTAAGAAACGCGCGCGTAGTTAATAAGTAAATAAATAAATAAATAAAACGCAGTATACCGATTCGTTACAATAATGGAAAAGTTAAATAAATAAATGATAACGTCACGTGATTTATTTATATATAAATATATACAACGCATTTATATAAAAAAAATTATGTATGTATTTAATTTTTTTTTTCGAATATTATCATTATTATTTTTTTTTGTTACGCACATTAAATTCGCACGCGTACGTTTTACTATCACGACGATGATGATGATGATGATGATGATGATGATAATGATGATGAATTAAGTGCGTTTGATAACGCGTTGATAATATCAAACGACGGTGACGACAACGTCTTATTAAAAAATTATCATTATTATTATTATTATTATTATTATTGTCATCGTCTGATTTTATTATGTACGCGAGTATTATTATTATCATTATTATTAATTATTAATTATTTTTTGTTTTTTTTTTTTTTTTGTTATTATTTTTTTTTAAATTTTACAATCAATATTATTATTATTATTTTTGTTTGTTTTTTTGAAGTTGAATTTTTTATTTTTTATTAATTTTAATTTTTTTTTTATTTAATAATATAAAAGATTTTTATGTACATAAAAAGAAAAAATTATTGATTTATTTTATTTATTTATTTAATAATATACGTGGGAAAAAATAACGTGAATCGCGATTTATTGTGATCTCTTTTTTTTTTAAATAAATAAATAACCGATAAAAACTTATTTATTTATTTATTTAAAATTAAAAACAAAAAATAATTATTTACATAAATAAATAAATAAATAAGTTAATAAAAATGCATCGATTAAAATTTATTAAAAAAAATAATGACAATTTTTTTTTTTTTTTTCGATAAAAAATTATTTAGAATTAGATTAGTTATTAAAAAAAAAATAATAAATTATACATACATACATAAAAATTTTTATTAACCTTTTATTAATAAACGTTGCGTATTATTATTATTACTATTATCATAATAACGTTTTTCTTTTATTTATTATTATTATTATTATATAAAAGTTTTTTTTTTCGTTTTCGTTTTGTTAAACTTTATGGAATTTGCAACAAAAAAAAAAACGAAAAAAAGTTTTCAAATGGTCGTGACACTCACGCATGAACGCACAAACACACGCACGCACACGCACACGCACAAGAGTCGGAATGAAAATTTAAAAAAAAAAAAGATTAATGGAAAGAGATGACTAGAAAGTATAAAAACCTTTCGTTAAAAATAAAGAAAGTGCCAAAAACTTGAAAGAGTGATCAATCTTTTTCCCTTTTAACCTTTAACCTTTTCACCCACTCCTGAATTTAATTACTCTCAGATGACTCTCAAAATTTTCTTTTTTTTTTTTTATATTTTCCGTAAAAATTCTCACGATGTTAAACACACACACACGCACACGCACAATTAAACGAAATTAAACGAATATCGAATCGTGTACGTGTGTGCGTGCGTGGGTGTGTACGTGCGTACGTGTCCGTACGCATTATTATTATTATTATTATTATTTAAAAGTCAAAAGCGTTCGTTGATTTTGACGTTTGGAAAACTTACGATCACGACCATTCATCGAAATTGACAAATGTTTTCTTTTTCTCCTCATCCCCAATTTTTCAAATATGCCCGAAACTTTTTCCACCCCCTCCCTCCCTCCCCATACTCCTACCCCTTCCTCTCACCAACACTTTCGCACGCACTCACGCACTTACTCACTCACTCACGCATAAAAAAAGTCAATTTAAGACGTTTAAGTAAATAAAAAAAAAAACAATTTTATTATTAATAATAATAATAATGGAAAACTCTTTAAAAAAAAAAAATTATTACGTATATATATATAAAACTGGAGAAAGAAATAAAATAGAAATGATGATGATAATAATAATAATAATGATGATAATAATTTTTTTTTTCAATAAAAATATTTTTTTTCAAGTGCAACTGATTATTTTCTCATCTCGTCAAAAGCTCTCTACACGCACAACACTTATGACAAGCAATTTCGTATAAACTTATTATTGTTTAATATGGAATCGTTCGAGTGTGTAAAAAGAGAGAGAGAGAAGGAAAAAGAGAGAGAGATGGAAAACGTCGAGGGTTTTCTTTTTTTTTTTTTTTGTATATTTTCATCCCTAATCTCGACTTTTCCAAAAATGAACACACACACACACACAAACACTCAAGATTTCACTGGGAAATTTTTTACTTGGAAATTTTCCAAAAAAAAAATTATTTACCCCCTTCTTTCTCCTCCTCTACCTCTCCCCCCTCCTCGACTCCCTCAAACCTTAAATAATTAATAATGATGATAATAAAACGATAATTTTTGTAAATTTTTGTTATGGTACGTTTAATCATCATCCCTCCGTGCATCCATTTAACAAAATAATAATAATAATAGTATATATTTAAATTCATTCACCTGGAAATATTCACCACCTTAAACACACACACACTCCAGGCAAATAAAATAACTTATAAATAATAATAATAATGATAATTTTATGTAAATGATTTTTTTTTTTAACGGTCATTTAAACGCGAAATTTTCGCAGTTTAATTAACTCGCGATTAATTAATTAATTAATTTTTCCAGTTTTTTCCTACCCTTTGTTGAAAATTTTTCAACCCCAATTTTAACTTTCGACCCTTGGCTACTACGATGACGATTATTTTAATTATCCGGTTTTGCCGTAAAAATTTTACAGGAGAAGAAGGAAAAAAAATTTTTATATGTGATTCATTATTATTATTATTATTAAGGAGACGACTAACTAATAAACGTTTTTATGTATGTATGTATACATAAGAGGGATGAAGAATCGTTTTGTGTGTGAGTGAGAGAGAGAGGGAGATAGAGGGAGAGAGTAAATTGGTAAAAAGTAATTGGAACGGTTTGAAAATTGCAAACGTTCATGCACACGCACTTACGCACGCACACACACGTACGCACGTTCGCACGCACGCATTTAACCGTCGTATCGTTCAATAAGTAGGCGTTGAATTATTATTATTATTATTATCGTGAAAAAAAAAAACGAATCGGAAATTGCAGGAGCACGTGTATTGTTGATATTGATATCTTTTTCCGGTTTTTTTTTTTTTTTTTTGTATTGCAACTGGAACTATTGTGTTTTATATGAACGTATGGAGTTTTTTCCCTCCTTTTCCCTCCCCTCCCCACCCCCTGTTGCTTTTCCTCTTCTTCCTCTTCCTCTTCCTCCTCCTACTGTTTTAAAATATTTACTTGGAAAATTTTTGTTTTTTTTTTTTTTTTTTTCTAGTCGATTCCATCCGACGACCATTTATTATTACGACTGAAAAAACCTAAAAAATGGTCGTTGTTTGTTTGTTTTTTTTTACTGGAGAAATTTTAAAAAAATTATTATTATTATTATTATTATTCCAGTTTGTTATTTAATTAAAATGATTTCGATTCGATTTACGAATGATTTTTTTTTTCTCCAGGACATGAAAAAGAAAGAAAAAGAAAAGAAAAGAAAATTTTTTTTCGATAAAATCAATAAAATCAATAACGGAAAGATTTTTTTTTTTTTTAGGTTTAAAATAAGGGTGGATTGGGTTTTCGTCGATGGGTGG